GGGAAGGTGGCTCAGTGGTAGAGCGCTTGCCTTGCATGCATGAAGCCCTGGGTTCGATTCCTCAGCACCACATAAGCAAAAAGAAAAAAGCCGGATGTGGCGCTGTGGCTCAAGTGGTAGAGTGCTAGCCTTGAGCTGAAGAGCCTGAGGGACAGTGCCCAGGCCCAGAGTTCAGGCCCCACGACCAGACCCACCCACAAAAGAAAAAAAACATTCAAAATCAGTTAATGCAAGCTAGCAGATCCATAGGCTAAAGGAGAAAAATTACATAGCAGAATAATAGATTCAGAAAAAAATCATTTGACAAAATCTAACATTCATCATAAAAGCTGTCATCAAACTAGGAATAAAAAAACCTTCCATATTTTATATGGTCATGTATACATAGCTATTGTGCTTTTGTGATCCTCTGCTAGGACCTTCCTAGACATATACTAAAAACGGTGAAACAAAGGACCAAGGGTGAACCAAGGGTGATAGAAGACACTATGTTGGAACTGAACTTTACAACTTGGGAGGAGAACCAGGGGAGAGAAAGTGGGAGGAAGATGAGGGTAAGGGTAACAATGTTCGACAATAAATGTACTCATTACCTTGCTTATATAACTGTAACCTCTCTGTACATCAACTTTACAACAAAATTAAATAAAAAACTTCCACAATTTGATTTTTAAAAATCAACAAAAATGTATAATTAACTTTAGTGGCTTTTGTTGTTGTTGTTGTTGTTGCTGGCTATGGAAGTGGGGCCTGAACTCTGGGCCTCTGCCCTGTCCCTCAGATCTTCAGCTCAGGGCTAGCGCTCTACCACTTGAGCCATAGCACCACTTCTGGCTTTTTCTGCTTAGGTGGTACTGAAGAATCGAACCCAGGGCCTCATGCATGCAAGGTAAGCACTCTACCACTGAACCACCTTCCCAGCCCTGAAGCTTTAGTGGCTTTGCTACTAAAATGAGGAATGTGCAAGGATATTCTCTCTCACTACTGCTCTTCAAATTGTGCTGAAAGCTAATTCAATAAGATCAGAAGAAGAAATAAACTTGTCCTAATACAGTCATGTACTAGCATAATGCACAGCAAATGCTGAAGTGGTGCATTTACACATTCAATTTCTGTTCTTATTTATACAACAGAGAAATGTTTGATATAATTTTCAACTCCTAAAATGTATACAATGTTTTCTCCTTTGGTGGGAGAAAAGTCTGAACACAGGCTGGGGTATAGCTTAGTGGAAAAGTACTTGCCTAGCAGATACAATATCCTGGGTTTGATCATCAGTACCAGAGAAAGAAAGAAGGGAGGGAGGGAGAAGGAAGGGAGGGAAGGAAGCTTAAACTTAAAGCATTTGCTAGGCAGATGCTCTACCAAATAACTCACACCTCTAGCCCTGTATAACAGCCTTCACTGTTAAGTAACACTTCATACTAAAAAGACTGTTAAACACGTGAAAAATAATTTGAAAAAAATATTGTTTACCTGATTGAAGTTGTTCGAGTTTATCTTTTTTGTGAGAAGCTATGTCTCCTATAAAGCAGATACCACCTTTAGCTAGCAAAGCACTGCCTGCCTGAATGCTAACTGCTCCAGTTCCATATTTATTTTTGGATAGAGTAGGAAAAATTTCAGTAGAGACAGGATGACGAATACCACGGGGAGCAAGGTTTATGCTAAAATTCAAAAGTCTAGGGAGAAAATAAATTATTTATTATTACATTTTATTAGATGATTTTCAGAAGTTATAATGTGTTAACTACTACACAATTAAACTACATCCAACATTATTGAGCATTATGAATTTTGTGCTAGGGATAAAGACATATATGAGTGCTGAGTGCTTGTGGCTCACACTTGTAATCCTAGCTACTCAGAGAGGCTGAGGTCTGAAGATTGTGGTTTGAATTCAGCTCACGCAGGAAAGTCCATGAGACTCTTATCTTCAATTAACCAGCAAAAAGCTGGAAGTAGAACTGTGATTCAGATACTAGCTTTGAGAAAAAAAGCTCAAAGACAGTGCCCAGCCTCTGAGTTCAAGCCCCAGGAGCAGCACAAAAAAAAATTTAAGGAAAAAGAAACTTAGTCATTCATTTGGACAATTCATAGCCTAGAAAGACATAAAAAAAACTAATATATAATGTGATAAGTACTAAACGAATATCTTGAGAATATTCAAAGAAAGTATTGTTTTTCCTGAATAGGTATCAGAGAAAGCTTAGAGAGATCACACTTGAACTGAGCCATTTCTATTTACTGATTACTCTATTTGCACATTCACAATTTTTGCATAGGCTTGCCGGTATTGCATTATGACTACTGATGCCTGTATCATGGAATCTCTTGATACATCTTTTTGGTTTCTAATATCTTTGCTAATTGCCTCAATCTCTTCATTTCTCAAATTCAAATCCTTAAAAGTACTCTTTTTCTTCTTTTGGTATTAAAATATTGATTCTCAATGAATACAGTAAAAATATCATAGTGAAATTCCCCCTTTATATAACTAAAATAAGAAAATAAAGTTTAGGAAACATATACTTTCAAATTCTGTTAGTGAAAGATTAGATTTGTACAATCTATAGCATTTAGCAAGACATTTGTATCAAGTGATGTTTTAATTTTAGCAAAACAACATCTACTCACTTAAGTTAATATTAACATTTTAAATTAAAATTCATTCTATACGTGTGTGTGTGTGTGTGTGTGTGTGTGTGTGTGTGTGTGTGTGTGTGTGTGCTAGGGTTTAAACTCCAGGTCTCACCCTACCATTTGAACCACAGCTTAGCTTTTTGCTGGCTCATTGGAAATAAGAGTCTCAAGGATTTGTCTGCTTGAGCTGGCTTAAGTTCTCAACCTCCTGAGCATCTAGTATTAGAAATGTGAGCCACTGGTACCTGACATACATAGAGTTTTTAAGAAAACCATGGGAAAATTTTTTTTCTCGATCTATTCGGTACTCTTAATACTTAGAGGCTAACTACTCTTTTCTTATATACTAAAACAGAAAATAAAACTTACAATAATGAAAGATTCATTTCTACAATATCCCTAATGTATTTTTAAACTTTTATTTATTCTTATAAGGAAGAAAGGTATGAGGGGGGAAATTTAATAGCTATAAACTTTAATTTCTCCATATTCCCTGCTTTTTATTTATCCTACCTGGATAGTTTACTGTGAACTGATTCCTGAATAAAGGGCTTCAATTGAAAATTCTGTGTGCCAGTTTAATAGCTATGATAATCATTACTAAATCTAAGCCATCTGTTCTTTGGTTCTCTGAACATGGCACACATATTCTCATAATATCAAAATATTAAAATGGATTATCAAGGTATACTAAATATTCTTGAGAATGAGAACTCTAAAGGTATTCATATAATAGAAATCCTTTTGAATAATCTTAAAATGAAAATTAATACTTATTCATACAGCCTATCATAATTTTCTACAGAAATATTCTATTTCAGTTTTCTTTTCATAGAGCTTCTTTAAGCTATGGCAATTTACACAAAAAACCCAACATATTAGTATCACATTCCTTACACAATTGTTTATATAATTATAATCTTAAATAATTCCTATGCAATGTCTCTAATGTATTTAAAATGGGAAATTGGAATAAAAGAATATTCAAAGAGATTTCTATTTAAACTGGAAAACTTTAACAAAGGCTTTTGGATAGCCACTTTGTCAACCTTTACCTTTTCAAAATCTTCAGTTGTGAACTGTTTAGAAGCTAAATAAAGTAGTCCTTCAGGATCAATAGCTTTCTTTAAAGCATGTTTCACAGAAGGAAGAAGTTGGTGGCAAGGAGATGATTCATTGCAGTTTATCAATAATCCAAATGCGTCTACAAGGTTAGTTGGAATCAAACTGCAATCCTATTTCAAACCAAAAAGTAAGTTAAACAGTAAGTTCTGGAATATTCCCAATTTGGAAGTTTCTAATTACAATATCTGAATAACTACAAATTAATCACTACATATAATTTGTTATTTATATTGTTTACAATATCCGAATAGCCTGGTAACTTGTGGACAGCAATATATTTTACTAAAGACACTTCATCTCCCTATTCTACTGAAGAGACACCTGATTTGCATGACTAAAGGAATTACTAACATTTTAGAGCACTGGCTTAGCATTTTTGGGGCCTTGGGTGTGAACTTTAGTACCACAAAAAAAAACTCAAAATAAAATAAAACACAAAAACAAACATTTTCAGCAACTGGGTTGTTACTTAGTTGTAGCAAGTAGTAGGGCGCTTCCAGCAAGTCAAGGCCCTAAGCTCAAACCTCAGTTCTGCAAGTAAGAAGAAAGTAGATAGAAGGAAGAAAGAAAAAGAAGAAATACAAATCATTAAAAGCTGTGGTGAAGTTCCCTACACAAAAGTCTAACAATAAAATAAATACATGCCTTACCATTTGACCAATTAGAGTGTTGGGTTTCTGTGCATTTCTCCTGGAAGATGAATCCATATCAACAAAAGACCAAAAACTGCACTGAACTGGAAAAGTCATTTGCTGATCAGCATCATCCCCAAACTTCTTTCCTGGAATGTATACTGTAATACTTCTGTTCTCCAGAACTAAGACAGAAGACATTTGTTTGTTATTTTTTAATTTTGGCCTAGATGTCTACAAACTAATAACAAAATTTTATGTTAACATAAATGTTTACTACACTTCAGTTAGTGAAGACACAAATAAATTTAATACTTTATGAAAAACTTTCATTAGACCATCTGTATTAAAAAGAACAAAGACAAGAAAAATATTAAATGTTTCTACATCTCTTGACTTTATGAAAACCACCAGGTGAAAGCATGCGCTGGAATTGTTGTTAGGCATCTGGGTAGAAATGACAGAGGATGAAGAGATTGGCCCATATGCAGACTTATAAGAGAGTATGCAATCAATACTTTTTTTTTTTTTGCCAGTCCTGGGCTTGAACTCAGGGCCTGGGCACTGTGCCTGAGCTTCTTTTTTCTCAAAGCTAGCACTCTTCCACTTAAGCCACAGTGCCACTTCTGGCCTTTTCTGTTTATGTGGTACTGGGAATTGAACCCAGGGCTTCATGCATGTTGGCAAGCACTCTACCACTGAGCCACATTCCTAGCCTGATACTCTTTTCTATATATAAAAATTACATACAATGACGTCAAATTCAACACATTCAAAACTAGAGTCTTTAACTAAAGTCCATTCCCCATAGTTCTGCTTGTTGTTCATAATTGGTGGCATACTATCCACTTACATAAAGAATTGGAAACATCTTATTCTCCTTTCTAGCCTTCTGTCATCCTCTTTTGGGCCTTGAATGAAGGCCCTCACTCCCTTGCCTGGACTTTTTGCTCAAGGCTGGCACTCTATCACTTAAGCCAAAACACTACTACTGGCTTTTTGCTGATTACTGAACTCACTGGAGATATATCTCCAGGATTTGTCTGCCCAAGCTGTATTCAAACCTTGATCCTTAGATCTTAGCCTCCTGAGTAGACAGGATTACAGGTATGAGCCACCAGTGCACAGCTTTGTCTTCCTTCATTCTTTATAGCCATTCAATCTAGAGATTTAACTCTATTCTTAGAATTCTACTTCCCAAATAGTTTTCAAATTGACCTTTTTTTTTTTCTCATTCATGATGACATTCTCTTGTGTCTATGTGTGTAAGTCAAAAAAATATTTGGCCAGGCGCCGGTGGCTCATGCCTGTAATCCTAGCTACTCAGGAGGCTGAAATCTGAGGATCATGGTTCAAAGCCAGCCTGGGTAAGAAAGTCAGTGAAACTCTTATCTCCAATAAACCATCAGAAAACTGGACGTGGCACTGTAGCTCCAGTGGTAGAGAGCTAGCCTTGAGCTGAAGAGCTGAGGGACAACGTTCAGGCTCAGAGTTCAAGCCCTATGACCAATTAAAAAAATGAATAAAAAATCTGATATAAACAACTTATAGGAAGAAATTATTTATTTTGGCTCACAGTTTCAGAGTTTTCAGTCTTGTATGGTGGAGAGGATAGAATGAAGTAATGCAGTGTGTATCATGGTGGACAGGAAGCAGAGAGAGAATATCTGCCTGCACCTTTCTCTTTTTCTCCCTTTATTTTATCTGGGTCATACCCTATAGAATGGTGTTTCTTCCCATTTGGGGTATTTGGTACCATGCCATTTCGAGGAGGTTTTCCCTCTTACTCCTCTGGAAATGCCCCCACAGATACACCCAGAGGTGTGCTTTATCTCCTAGGTGCTTCTCAATCTAACCAAATTGGGAAATCAAGGTTAACATCACACAGCCAGGCATTGTAAGTGAAAGTCTGTACCACACTACTAGGGAGGCAGAGGCAGAAGGATCAAAAGTTTGAAGAAAGCTTGGACAAAGTGATATCCTTACTAAAAAAAATAAAAATAAAAACAAAAGGCCTATCTATATGTGGTGCTTGGGGTCAAATCCAGGGTCTCACACATGCTAGTTTAGCACACTCTCAACTGAGAGTATTTGAAACTGTAGCTGGGTATGACTACTATGTCTGTAATCCTAGCTACTAGAGAGGCAGGGATGAGGGGATCATAGTACAAGATCAGCCTAAGCATAAACGTTCATTAAACTCCATTTTATCCAATGGATGGGTATGGTAGTATGCTTCTGTCATCTTTAGTCACATAGAGAAGCACAAGTAAAAGGGCTCCAGGCCAGCCCAGCCTGGGAATAAAATAAAGCTAGACCTTATCTTGAACATAACATAGAAAAAGATGCTGGAGGTGTGGTTCAAGTGGAAGAGCACCTGCTTAGCTAGGCCCTTGAGTTTAATCCTTAGGACCACAAAAAAAAGAAAAAAAGAAAATGATGACAGATTTTATTTACTTTTCCACTGACAGTACTGGAGTTTGAACTCAGAGCCTCATACTTGCTAGTCAAGCACCATTATAACACTGCCAAGCCCTTTTTTGCTTTATTTTTCAGGTAGGGTCTCACTTTTTTGTTTGTTTTTTGGTCAGTTGTGGGTCTTGAACTCTGGACCTGGGTGCTGTCCCTCAGCTCTTCTGCTCAAGGCAGGCACTTTACCACTTGAGCCACAGTGCCACTTCTGGTTTTCTGGAGATAGGAGTCTTACAGACTTTCCTGCCTGGGCTGGCTTTGAACTGTGATCCTGAGATCTCAGCCTCCTGAGTAGCTAGGATTACAGGTGAGAGTCACCGGTGCCCAACTGGGTCTCACATTTTTGTCAGCACCTAGCTTTGAATTGGGGTACTCCTCCAAGATCACATAAGGGGGAAAATACCCAAAACCAATAAACACATCAAGGAATGCTTAACATCATAAGTCATCAATAAGATAAATCCCATCAATAAGATAAAATATTACCACTTGAGATATAACCTAAACATTTTTGGTTTAGTATATTTTTTAGGCAAAGTCTTGCTTTGCTTGGGGATGGTTTCATGTATAAATGAATGTACAGAATGAACCACAATACAACCAACCTACCTTCTTTCCTTCCTTCCTTCTTTCCTTCCTTCCTTCTTCCTTTCTTCCTTCCTTCCTTTCTCTTTCCCAGTACTGGGGCTTGAACTCAGGGCCTAGGCACTGTCTCTGAGCTTCCTTTGCTCAAAGCTAGCACTCTGCCACCCGAGCCAGAGCACCACCTGTGGCTTTTTCTGAGTATGTGATACTGAGGAATCAAACCCAGGGCTTTAGGTATGCCTGAAGCTACCTAAGCTACCTTCCCTGTCCACACCTTGCTTTTTTGTTGTGACAGTCTCACTTGTTTTCCAGGCCTTGAATCCTCCTTATCTCTTCCTCATAAGTCGCTGAGATTACAGGTGTGTGCCACTGTACCTGGCTTCTATATTTTCTGTTAGCAGCTTTACAGTTTTAGTTTTCACTTTTTTCTTTATGAGGCATCTCAAATTAATTATTGCATATAGTTATAATATGAATTAGTATGAATTAAGAAATAAGCTTTTTTACAATGGAGGGGGTAACAATGTTCAAGAGGAAGTGTACTCATTACCTCACTCATGTAACTGTAACCCTCTGTATAGTATCTTTACAATAAAAAAGAGAAATAAGCTTTTTTCATATATATAGCCAGATGTTCCACCATCCCTTGTTGAAAAAACTCCTTTCACTTTGGTGCCATTATAAACAAAATCAATTGACCATATATAGTGTTGTTCATTTCTGCATTTTCTTGTTTGTAATGTACTACATGCCCTGAGTTTTCTTGCATAAGCTAAGAATGCATGGCACCCACTGCTCTTTTTTTTTTTTTTTTGCCAGTTGTGGGCCTGAACTCTGGGCCTGGGCTTTGTCCCTCTGCTTTTCAGCTCAAGACTAGCATTCTACCACTTGAGCCACAGCGCCACTTCCGGATTTTTTTTCCTGATTATGTGGTGCTGAGGAATTGAACCCAGGGCCTCATACATGCAAGGCACTCTACCACTGAGCCACCTTCCCAGCACCCACTGCCCAATCAATAGTATAGCCAATCTTGTCCTTGTTAGTTTTAATTCTGGCCTAACTAGCATTATCATAGTATCAAACCTAAACTAAGCAAAGACATTGTAACAAAGAATATAATAGCTCTAGTGAATAAAAATGCAAAAGTCTTCAACAAAATAATAACATACCAAACTCAATAAGGTATTTAAAAAAAGCTCATCTAGAAGTGGAGCAATGGCTCAAGTGGTAGAGCACTAGCCTTGAGCAAAAAAGCTAAGGGACATGCTCAGGCCCTGAGTTCAAGCCCCAGTACTGGTGCATGCATGCGCGCGCATACACACACACACACACATACAATCATGCACCCCAATCAAGTAAGGTTTATTCCAGGTATGCAATGCTAGTTCAACATTCAAAATCATGGGGCTGGGAAGGTGGCTCAGTGGTAGAGCGCTTGCCTTGCATGCATGAAGCCCTGGGTTCGATTCCTCAGCACCACATAAGCAAAAAGAAAAAAGCCGGATGTGGCGCTGTGGCTCAAGTGGTAGAGTGCTAGCCTTGAGCTGAAGAGCCTGAGGGACAGTGCCCAGGCCCAGAGTTCAGGCCCCACGACCAGACCCACCCACAAAAGAAAAAAAACATTCAAAATCAGTTAATGCAAGCTAGCAGATCCATAGGCTAAAGGAGAAAAATTACATAGCAGAATAATAGATTCAGAAAAAAATCATTTGACAAAATCTAACATTCATCATAAAAGCTGTCATCAAACTAGGAATAAAAAAACCTTCCATATTTTATATGGTCATGTATACATAGCTATTGTGCTTTTGTGATCCTCTGCTAGGACCTTCCTAGACATATACTAAAAACGGTGAAACAAAGGACCAAGGGTGAACCAAGGGTGATAGAAGACACTATGTTGGAACTGAACTTTACAACTTGGGAGGAGAACCAGGGGAGAGAAAGTGGGAGGAAGATGAGGGTAAGGGTAACAATGTTCGACAATAAATGTACTCATTACCTTGCTTATATAACTGTAACCTCTCTGTACATCAACTTTACAACAAAATTAAATAAAAAACTTCCACAATTTGATTTTTAAAAATCAACAAAAATGTATAATTAACTTTAGTGGCTTTTGTTGTTGTTGTTGTTGTTGCTGGCTATGGAAGTGGGGCCTGAACTCTGGGCCTCTGCCCTGTCCCTCAGATCTTCAGCTCAGGGCTAGCGCTCTACCACTTGAGCCATAGCACCACTTCTGGCTTTTTCTGCTTAGGTGGTACTGAAGAATCGAACCCAGGGCCTCATGCATGCAAGGTAAGCACTCTACCACTGAACCACCTTCCCAGCCCTGAAGCTTTAGTGGCTTTGCTACTAAAATGAGGAATGTGCAAGGATATTCTCTCTCACTACTGCTCTTCAAATTGTGCTGAAAGCTAATTCAATAAGATCAGAAGAAGAAATAAACTTGTCCTAATACAGTCATGTACTAGCATAATGCACAGCAAATGCTGAAGTGGTGCATTTACACATTCAATTTCTGTTCTTATTTATACAACAGAGAAATGTTTGATATAATTTTCAACTCCTAAAATGTATACAATGTTTTCTCCTTTGGTGGGAGAAAAGTCTGAACACAGGCTGGGGTATAGCTTAGTGGAAAAGTACTTGCCTAGCAGATACAATATCCTGGGTTTGATCATCAGTACCAGAGAAAGAAAGAAGGGAGGGAGGGAGAAGGAAGGGAGGGAAGGAAGCTTAAACTTAAAGCATTTGCTAGGCAGATGCTCTACCAAATAACTCACACCTCTAGCCCTGTATAACAGCCTTCACTGTTAAGTAACACTTCATACTAAAAAGACTGTTAAACACGTGAAAAATAATTTGAAAAAAATATTGTTTACCTGATTGAAGTTGTTCGAGTTTATCTTTTTTGTGAGAAGCTATGTCTCCTATAAAGCAGATACCACCTTTAGCTAGCAAAGCACTGCCTGCCTGAATGCTAACTGCTCCAGTTCCATATTTATTTTTGGATAGAGTAGGAAAAATTTCAGTAGAGACAGGATGACGAATACCACGGGGAGCAAGGTTTATGCTAAAATTCAAAAGTCTAGGGAGAAAATAAATTATTTATTATTACATTTTATTAGATGATTTTCAGAAGTTATAATGTGTTAACTACTACACAATTAAACTACATCCAACATTATTGAGCATTATGAATTTTGTGCTAGGGATAAAGACATATATGAGTGCTGAGTGCTTGTGGCTCACACTTGTAATCCTAGCTACTCAGAGAGGCTGAGGTCTGAAGATTGTGGTTTGAATTCAGCTCACGCAGGAAAGTCCATGAGACTCTTATCTTCAATTAACCAGCAAAAAGCTGGAAGTAGAACTGTGATTCAGATACTAGCTTTGAGAAAAAAAGCTCAAAGACAGTGCCCAGCCTCTGAGTTCAAGCCCCAGGAGCAGCACAAAAAAAAATTTAAGGAAAAAGAAACTTAGTCATTCATTTGGACAATTCATAGCCTAGAAAGACATAAAAAAAACTAATATATAATGTGATAAGTACTAAACGAATATCTTGAGAATATTCAAAGAAAGTATTGTTTTTCCTGAATAGGTATCAGAGAAAGCTTAGAGAGATCACACTTGAACTGAGCCATTTCTATTTACTGATTACTCTATTTGCACATTCACAATTTTTGCATAGGCTTGCCGGTATTGCATTATGACTACTGATGCCTGTATCATGGAATCTCTTGATACATCTTTTTGGTTTCTAATATCTTTGCTAATTGCCTCAATCTCTTCATTTCTCAAATTCAAATCCTTAAAAGTACTCTTTTTCTTCTTTTGGTATTAAAATATTGATTCTCAATGAATACAGTAAAAATATCATAGTGAAATTCCCCCTTTATATAACTAAAATAAGAAAATAAAGTTTAGGAAACATATACTTTCAAATTCTGTTAGTGAAAGATTAGATTTGTACAATCTATAGCATTTAGCAAGACATTTGTATCAAGTGATGTTTTAATTTTAGCAAAACAACATCTACTCACTTAAGTTAATATTAACATTTTAAATTAAAATTCATTCTATACGTGTGTGTGTGTGTGTGTGTGTGTGTGTGTGTGTTTGTGTGTGCTGGTGTCCTGGGGCTTCAAATCAAAGCTTGGACACTGTCCCAAAATTTTTCGCTCAAGACTAGTGTTCTAGGGGCTGGGAAGCTGGCTCAGTGGTAGAGCACTTGCCTTGCATGCATGAGGCCCTGGGTTCCATTCCTCAGCACAACATAAGCA